ATAGCACACATAGACCTTACAAACTGTAAAATGCTAGAATAAGGTTGACAAGCCACTCTGAACCACCACCACACAAGCCAACACCAGAAGCGACCACCCAAAAGGATAGCAACACGACCCAAGTCACAGATCTAAAAACTCCAGTAAATTAATGGTGAACTAGATCATACCAAACAAACCTGATCTCTCTTCCAAATGGAACACTAGTGAAAAAGAGACCGGAGGCCTGCTCCTATATATCGTCTCCCCTAACGCAATCCAACGACCACGACCAAAACTTGACCAATGCCGAAGCTTGTCCCCACTGGAGGAACTCGCCGACCCGACACCAGGAGAAAGTACATGAAATAGGAGAAAGAAAGTCGTCGGCCTCAATCCCAACCACCACGAAGGCAGCGATTGACGCCAGCAAACTGACCTCGCCGCCGAATCGTCGAAAAAATTGCTCCAAGACCCCACCATAGCCACCCGAGCACTGGGAGAAGCGCTATGCCGGTACGAGGAAATGGGGAGAACAATGGGAGTCGCGCCGCTCGGCCCAGTGCAGATCAACTCCGTGGCGGTGCAGAGCACCATGCTGAGAGGAGGCACATAAAGGAGATGAGAAACAAGGGTTTCGAGGAATTGGGGATTTTACTGTCCACAAAGAGAAAATTGAAGGAATGGTAGTGATAAACACGTTGTTCAATGTAAGAGATTACTTAAAAGGTGCAAGAAACAAAAACTCCTTTTTGACCCTACAAGATCAACATACTTCCACCTATTCTCAAATTTAAGATTTTTATGATGGTTTGAAAAACCGAACAGGATCAGTTCAGTTCAACCGAAAACCGACCATCATAGCGGTCCGGTCAGAGGTATTAAACCTCATGGAACAAAAACTGGTTAGAAACCGTTTGGACCGTTCGGAAACCAGTGAAACCGATGACTGTAAACGGTTTCAGCTGCGCAACGATTTTAATACAATGACACATTCTTACTTCTTCATTAAAAGCACTTCATTTCTTTGATTTTTTTTTTAAGGAAAAAGCTACTTGTACAATTTTATTGTACAACATTCAATGACAACATGATGCGGCATAATGTGAATGGTTGAGATGCAAATAAATATGTAGTTAATATTTGAGTTAATGATACTTCTAACTATGTTGTCAAATAATGTTGTAAACTATAATTGTACATGTAGCATTTGCCTTTTTTTTTTAACGTGGGACAGTGGTTTTTTTTTCCTTTTCCTATTCTTCTTCTTTTATTTGTTGTGTGGGCCAATTCCAAAAGCCCAATAAATTTTTACTGTTTCGGGCCATTTTCTTTTTTTTTTGGTATGTGTGTATGCAAATTGCAAAGTTGTTTCGGCCATTTTTTTTACATATGTATGCAAACTTTTTCAAAATTCAAAACTTAAAGCCACCTTAAAACAAAAATTGAAAATCAGATATACTATATTATTATTACAAATTTACAATTAACAAAATAAATAAAAACCTTATATAATAAGTTTAACACTTTAACATTTAATCTAATAATGATAAAAATATATAAAATTGTTTTGTATGTAGAGAAATGACATTATACACTATAAAACTAATGAAAAAAATATACGCAATTATACATATTTACATATAAAATTTATAAAAAAAAATATATATTAATTAAATTGATTTGACTGGTTCAACCCGACCAGTGAATCGGTAGCTTCATCGGTTCGATTTTCAAAACCTTGAATTTTACAAAGTTGCAACTAGAGGTGACAAAAAACGGGTTGGGCTCGGGCCCGGCTCGGAATCATGGACTTGGAACCGGCACATACCTAGGCTCCCATCGGGTCCATGGCCCGGTGGGCCGAGCCAGGCCCGACCCCGATTTGGGCCCGTCAATATAAAACAAAATATATGTTTTTCTTGGGCCGGACCGGAATCAACTCGGACTGCCGGGCCAAGGTCTAAAAAACAAGCCCTGGACCGACCCGATTAAAATTCGAGCTGGGCCCAGACCCGATCAACTGGCTTAACTGGGTCCATGATCGGGCTGGGTCGGCAGCCCGGGCGGCCCGTGAGATGTGTAGTTGCAACAAAAGAAATTATTACCTAGTACTTTTCCCATCCACTTAATTAACAACACTTCAATGGAAATTCCTCAAATCACCAAATTTTCTTCAAAACTCCCCATCTCTGCCATCTTTAAGTTAAATTCCACTCATGTCCATTCTTTTGAGGCCGCCCCCCACAAAATTCTTCGAGGGTAAAATTGTCAATAGGAGGTATTTGTCCAGTGGCCAATCGGTGAAGTCCACTTTCTTCAAACCTCTCACCGACGCCGCCACCGCAGAGAGCGAGTTTCGGCTGATCTACGGCGGGTCTAGTGGTGGCGCAGTCTCTCCGAGAAAGCAGCCAACGAGCGTGGTACACATGGCGTCCTCAGATGTTAACAGCACAGATGATCGTATCTCTCGGATCGCCTCCACCATTCGGGTCATACCAGATTTCCCCAAGCCCGGTGAACGCTCTTTGAGTTTAAAAGCCTCCGCTGTCTATTTGGTTACCTGGATTGTGTAATTGAGCTGAATTTTTGTTTTTGCTTGAAAAAATGTTATGAACAGGGATCATGTTTCAGGATATAACGACGCTGTTGCTTGATCCGAAGGCGTTTAAGGATACGATCGATTTGTTTGTTGAGAGATACACAGGCAAAAATATCAATGTTATTGCGGGTAATGTATTTGCCGGAAGAGGAAATTTGATAAGTATTGTTTTATGCTTTTGTTGGTGTGATTTATTGAAAAACTATACGCCGCAGTCTTTTGCTGAAGTTTTCTTATTGGTTGTTGAATTCAGATGAACACTTTTCTTACTGTGGAGTTGGATCTTATGTTCTATCTGCTAATTCCATTGATTAAAGCGAAAAGAAATAACTAAGGCTAGGTGGATTGTTCATAAACTGATGAAAGGATACTGTTTTGTAAGTCGTAAATGAAGTTATGCTATTCATTCAGTTTACTTAATTGGAACGAATAAACTGATTCTTGGCGAATTGTTAAACTGATTAAAAGAGAATATTTATTTGTTGGATAGTGGAGTATTCTGTTTAATATGTGACCCAAGAATTTGTATCAATCTTTTAGAGTTGGTTTGAAATTAGTGTTATTGATACAAGAGTTCTGACCCTTATGAAATGCATAATGAGTCGTAAATCATGAGTGTTGCAGGTGTTGAGGCAAGAGGTTTTATATTTGGTCCCCCTATTGCACTGGCTATTGGAGCAAAATTTGTTCCTATGAGGAAACCTAAAAAGCTGCCTGGTACAGCTTATTCCCATCTTGATCATTCAACTAAAAACATTTTTTTTTTCTTATGCAAAAGATCTTTTTTTTTTTCTTTGCATCTCTCTGATATTTGCTTTTGTTCCCATAATGTATTGTAAATAGTACGAGCAAAAGAAGATGCCTGTTTACATGCTTCTTTTCATTGTTTTGCATTCCTATTCTCATCCAGACTTGGAATTTCGCATGGATGTTAACTGCATGCTCATAAATTATTTCTTGATGCTCCTGTATATTCAAAATTAGTCTTTTCTATGAGAAGTGTGATTAAACTCTTACTGAATCAGCAATACTTTTCTGTGCAATTCGAAAATGCTGGAACTGTTTGTAAATTTCTGTATTTACCTGAAATATTTTTGCTTGTGATTTTAGGCTCTATATTTGGTAGTGACCATAAATAATAGAAAACGTTATAAATGATTGAAAACCATATATTTCAAAATTTAGTCAAATGCATTTTCATTGTGACGTACGATGATAAAATTCTGTTAAATTCTCTGGCAAACATGAAACAACTATTTGTTTTTCAATATTACGATCGATATAATTACATCTACTGTATGTTAGTCTTGATTCACATCAAACTCTAGTGTGGCTCTGCCTTATGATTTGTTGTCATTTTGAAGATTGAGTTGCTCTGCATGGACTATTATCTGCTCGAGTTTGACGGAAGAAGCCTGTGGTAAAGAAAAACTGAAAATTGAAATGCCTTTTGATATATTTTGGCATTTGATATTGTCTATGAGGTGTACTACTTTAGAGTTTAGATTTACTGTTTCTTTTTCGCTGTTATCTATTTCTCTTGCAATTGCAGTTGGTTTATTTATAAAATATATTTGGAATTGTTTCATACACCTTTTGGACAATTGGTATATGTTACTTATACTATATTTTTGAGGATTTTCTGTTTCGAAATTCATCTTGGATCTCTCAAGAAAAATTAACACATAACATGTGTTTTTTTCCCTCCTAGTTTATTTCAATCTAATACATAATCTGATGAGATAAACCCAAAATCATTGTGATCATGTCAGGGGAGGTAATATCAGAAGAGTACTCTTTGGAGTATGGAACTGACAAAATGGAGATGCATGTTGGAGCTGTACAGGCTGGAGAGCGTGTGGTTGTGGTGGATGATCTCATTGCCACAGGAGGCACCTTAGCTGCTGCAGTTCGCCTGCTTGGTATGGTTCTTTGGTGTATTTAGCTTTTATTTTGTCTTATTCTTTTGATTTTGTCCTTGTTTGTTAGTTTTATGTGCATGCCAATTGCCACCTTTCAGTTTTCCTTTTCTCTCTGTGTGGGGGTGTGTTGGTGGTAGGGGTCGTCACTGCCCTTTGTCACCATTAATTTTAAATATTTTGTGTTTTAAAGACAAAGGAACTATCCGGTATCAATTGCACTGTTTTAGCGTTTGCTTTTAGTTTGTGTCGAAATTAAGATATGATTGGTCACTGCACTAATTTAATATATTAAGATAAACCTTAATTTTTTGGCAAAAGGAAAATGAAAGAGAATGTTCCTATTCCGTAACAAATTGAAGTTTGTGAAAATAAATAGTTAGAAGTACTAGTAGAGAAGCATCGGAAACTGTCTGATGTATTTCTTTAGATGAAAATCATAACAGCATAAAAGAAGGATGCTCTTGAATCAATTAAAATGTTGTGTAATGGAGCACTAGAAATAAGCAGAGATCCAATGATGAAAGATCCAAACAACATGGGAGCAAATCTGGTAAACGTGGGGGACTTTCATAGAAATATTTTGCATGGAAGCAGTACATAAGAGCATTTACAAGATGAGACGACTTGAGAAAAAAAGGAGAAAGTATTTTTGTTATTGCAGCGGGTGGTTTTAAGCAACATGCGGAGAAGAAATCCGTTGCTATATATTGCACTGTTAAGTGGGATGCTTTATGAGAAACTTGGTTGACATTGGAGAACTTGTGGTTTGGAGCTTACAGAAGGGGACAAATTTTGCATTAAATAAACAAAATGATAAGCCAGTTACTTTTGCTGAAGAAATTATTTTACATTGGTTCCTTTAACGAAACTAGAGAATTTGATTCCCGGGGAAGTTGCGGTCTTTGGACTTGTAGGTTTTGGAGAATCATTTATTTTGCAAACTTATTCCATGATGCATCTAAAGTTATGTTAAGGCATTTCTTTCCCTTAAACACCATGGCCCTATGTTACTAAAATAATTCAAATTTCTCTCATTCGCACTACCCTTTTCTAGATAGGTTCGAAGCTGCCACAGTAATGTAGAACATTTGATCTCTTCTTAATGACGTGGCTAGCTGCATAGTGGATTTTGAGATTGAGCAATATCATAAATTCTTGAATGTCATGCGTGACTGTGTTTAGTTTAAAAAAACAAAGTCGTTTTTCGGTTGGTTCGCTGGTATTGTAGATCTTTTATATTCGTTATATAAAAATTGTGTTGGCACTGAAACAATTGTTGTATATGTCTCATGAGGCACTGGTTTCCAAATACTTCTAAATTGAGAATATGACCAGCTGAACTAACATTATATGTTGTTACTCAAAAGTAATCTCAAATTGTTTTGATCTTTTAATGCAGAGCGTGTTGGAGCAGATGTTGTCGAGTGCACTTGTGTTATTGAGTTGCCAGAACTGAAGGTATGACACCACAAATCAAAGCAAATACTAAGACACACGTATAGTTTATTGAATTGCTGCATGTTTTCCTGGCTTTCTTAGGCTATGTTTGGTAGACCAAAAAGCTAGCTTATAGCTTTTTTGGTTAGTTTATAAGCTCCCTGTTTTCAAATAAGCTCCGTTTGGTAGGACGAGCTTTTTTAAAAAGCTCGAGCTTATTTGATAAGCTTCTTTGGGTATCTTTTCAAAATTTCAGCTAGCTTATCAGCTAATTTTACCAAACACTTTTATCATATAAGCTAGCTTTTCAGCTATAAGTCATAGGTTATGTTTGGTAAAACTAGCTGATAGCTGATAAGCTAGCTTAAAGCTTATCAGTAATTTTTTAGCTTATAGCTTATAGCTTATAGCTTATGACTTATAGCTGAAAAGCTAGCTTATATGATAAAAGTGTTTGGTAAAATTAGCTGATAAGCTAGCTGAAATAAAAAATTCAACTAGCTTATTTGAAAAGCTAATTAAAGAAGCTTATCAAATAAGTTTGAGCTTTTTAAAAAAGCTCGTCCTACCAAACGAGACTTATTTGAATACAGGGAGCTTATAAGCTAACAAAATAAGCTATAAGCTAGCTTATTGGTCTACCAAATATAGCCATAAGCTATAAGCTATAAGCTCAAAAATTACTGATAAGCTATAAGCTAGCTTATCAGCTAGTTTTACCAAACATAGCCTTACTCACTAGTATTTGATGTTGTGCATTTGCACAGATATAAAATACGTTTTTGTTTATATTTATTAATTAGACATGTACTTCTATCATATAAAAATTATTACTTTTTCTTAAGTTATTTTTATCATTCAAAATTAATTGAGATTTAAAATTTATTTTAACCATGCAACGTTTACATTAGTAACATGAATAAAATGATTTATATATTTGTGGCAATCATATTTTTCTTCAAACAATGCAACCAAATATAGCGTTTACAGCTCTGAATTTGTCAATCAAGTTTAAGTTCCAACATTAGCCGTTACACATTTGAATATTTTGCTATCAAATTTAGAATTAATTTAGTAACTGATCCAAAAAATAAATAATAAAAATTTATATATTAAGGTGTAACGGTTTTAATATATTAGTGAGTAAGTAATTAAAAAAAATGTAACTAATTTTGGAGGGAAATGAAAATATGTTTTATTAAATGCATTAGCTAGTAATTATATATATATAGATTTGAAGTCCCAATCTATGGAGCCTACGTGTTATTAGGAGAATTATAAAAGCCCTCACTAAGATTCTGCTTTATTACAAAGAAACTCTTGTTTATTTGTCGAAACTTCAAACATGCTTATGACATTTTATTTTATTAATCACTTGATTCCAGGGTCGGGATAAGTTGGGGGATAAGCCGCTGTTTGTTCTTGTGGGCTCATCAATATGAGGACAGAGAATGTGTGATGATTTGTTTGCTTGTGTTCACCGTCTGCCAAAAAGACGCCCAAATTTGGGTAGATGGTGGTTTGTATTGTTAACGTTTCTATTGCTTGTAATTTTGGAGTGAAGTACCGTTCATACTCCAAATCATTAATTCAACAAATCAATTGAACTTTTGATTGCTGCCTGTGAGTTTCATCCTATTGGTTTGGGCTATTATCAACATTAGATTTTCACCGTTGGATCAATACCAACACAGGTAAGTATATGTGTGTTTGTGTGATGAGTTTTAAAAATAGCAGCCGCACTTGGACTGATCCTTCCCCAATTTCACCAATAATCTTTTCATTTTTTATTTTTTTTTTCAATTTTATGTTTGTGTATATTTTGAAGGACGTGTGAAGGAACACTTCACACCTTGAGGTATTTTCATGTCTTCCACAAAAAAAGGATTAGTTCTTTTAGGAGAAAGTGCTAATCACCAAGAGCCGAGTTTCTCAAAAAAATGAAATTGATGAATTGGAATTACTAAATAACAATTAACAAAAAATACAACGGTTTCTCGATGTAATTGTAGATAAAACAAAAAATAATAATTATTTTTTACTAAATTAAGGAAAAAATAAAAGCTCACTAATAAAAACATTCAGAACAACTTAAAAATTCAAGCGAACGTGAAATTACCAACTAAACTAATTAACCACACAAATTAAATTACAGATGAAAGATGTAATAGAAAACAAATACAAAACCAAATAACAATGTTTTTGTACAAAAAAGAATCAATAATTCATTCATGGAAATATTTTACCGCTATCACAGCTAATGCATTTTTTTTCTTGCAGCGGGATGGAGCAAGTGAATTTAGAGATGAAATAAAGATAGAGAGATTCTCTTTAGCTATCGGTAAGCTTCTTTGGCGGATTTTTTGAGGGGGTGTTCTTACTTTTTTCACATGAAAATTTTGTTTTGGCCAAAATTTGTGGCCATTGGATCTTTTAATAGATATCGCACAGCAATATCTGCTGTTTAAGTAAGCACCGCAGAGCTCCAAATCCGAAAATCATAACCGGATAACCCGTTATTCAACCCCTCAATCCAGTTACCGTCGTTGGAAAATTACAGCACAGAGAGGCAAATTGGACCACGGCCGACAATTTGCCGCGGATCCATTTGAAAACCGAAAAAATAAAGAGAAGAAATAATTCATGAAAGGGCATCTATCAATCACCTTACAGATGAAGTGAAAGCCTCGAATCATGGAGTAGAAGGCGATCGCCGGCGCCGATAAAAGCTACTCGGATTTTTCTCCCTCCCAAAAAAAGAATTTACTGCAAATTCTGTAATGAAAAGGGGATAAATGAAGTTTGGCAGTGTATTTTAGTGACCCTAGGCCCGCGGCCCGACCTGGACCGTGACCTTGCCCGGCCCTTTTTTTGCCTGCAACACTATAATTAAAAGGCGCCTAGCAGAGAGATTTCAGTCTTCATACGCCCACTCAAAATGAAACCCCAAGAACTGGATATTGCCTCAATCAAACTCAGTGTATTACCTCAATTAAAGTTTCACAGTTCAAAGAATAAACAGCAGTGTACAAATCGAACTACCAAATCAAACATTCACTGTTACCTTCCAATAATAAGTTTATCTTCAATTGTAAACACAGAGAAAAATGAAATAAAAAAATAAAAATTGGACACACCAATTTGATAACGGAGTTCGGTCAATAATGCCTACGTCTCCGGACTACTGCAGATATTTTATTAGGAAGAAAAAAAATACACTCGTGTTTAGAAAACACTATCAAACTCACTCACAACTCAAATCTTAAAGTAGATAATGGATTTCTAGTAGTAATTATGAATTGGTTTCTATTTTATTTTATTTTTTCTTTTTAAAGACTTTCATCTTCTTAAAGTAGATAATGGACTTCTAGTAGTAATTATGAATTGGTTTCTATCTTATTTTATTTTTTCTTGTTAAAGATAATGGATTTCTAGTAGTAATTATGAATTGATTTCTATTTTATTTTATTTTTTTAAATCTGTATAGATAAGGGATGTGATTTTTTAAACAGTATGCAATGGGATTTTGTAACAGAAGAGATAATACTAAAAAAAAGAAAAAGAAAAACAAATATTTACTGTCAAACAACGGTTTTGATAAACTAAAAAACAGTACAAAGAGAAACAAATCTTTACACAATTAAGGAGCCAATTTTTTTTCCTATTCAGATGTGTCCAACAATTACTATATGTAGGATATATTTAGTGATTTTGTCGGGAAAAAATTTCTAAATTTATTAAAAGGTTATTCTTTTTATATAATGATAGATTACTATAATTTAGCGTATACAAGTGAAGTACCAGGTTTAGTGTATAGAAATGTTTCTTCGTTATCAATCTAATCCTAATTAATCACATCTTAAAAGTCGTGATACATATAATTAAGTATGTTCATGATACTGGTAACGTAGGAATCTTATACTCAAATGATACGCGTGTTAATCTTGCAGGATACTGTAATGTTGATTGGGTAAGAAACATTGACGGTCGACGGAGGAGATTGTAAGATTTATTTTTGACAAGAGTTCTAAAATATTATCATTATGTTGTAGCAAGCAAGTGAATTAAAATGAAAGATCTATTCTCTCTCTCTCCCTCTCTCTTATTTAATTAAGTGTAGATACTATTTGTATTAAGTATGGTAAATATATGATTATATATTAGTATAGACTTTATTTGCATGTAGTCATTTCTACCATATTCTTTGTATTTATTATTTGTAGAGAGATCGTGCATTAAGGAAAAGAAGGAGTTGTTCGAGGAAGATTACATACGAAGATATCGCCTTCAGTTTTGAAGATCTCGACCAAGTCTTGAAGAAATAGAAAGGAAGGAAATTGGCTCCAAAAATCAAGTATGATTTGTAGACTCCTTACCTTGGGGAGATTGTATATAAGCCTACACAAAGACTCAACTGAAGGTTTTTGCAATAATGGTAGATCATCATAGTCTGAGACTTTGAATGTTTTTGAGCTTTTAGTTTTTCGAGTTTCATTGTGTTCAGTTTTTTAGTGTTCTTACATCACTAAAGAACTGAGTTTGTTTTCTCTTTTACAAACATTTTTTGTCCATGGATTAAGTACTTGTATAGTTGGGAGGAATCCATAGCTATTATGAAGTCCACGTGTGTGCTGCCAGAGAAGTAGTCAATAGGGTCGAATATAGTGTTGGCTAGACTAGGCGGGAGTCCGAGTCGAATAAACCCAAACTATATTTTTGTGCGCGCCAACCGAACTATTAATGAAATAGTTCCAAGGATAGTTGGACACTCCACGAAAAGTTTTTAACTTTATTTGCTTCCGCTTTTAATTTTGGTGTTCTAACAAACCTCACGAACTATATATACTCCCTCACTTGCGTTTTAAATCCCACCACTACGCAATCGTCTAGCGTATGTCTAAGCCTACTGTATATACTCCCTCACTTGCATTTTACATCCCACGACTACGCAATCATTTAGCGTATGTCTAAGCCTTTCCATAAATGTACGAGCACCTAAATTAGAATACTAGATAGCACAGAGAGCATAGGTTTCAGGACACCACCACGCAATCGTCTAACATATGCTTTAGCCTTTTCGTTTTGGTTTGTCTTTGTTTTCGCCTGGAAAGAGCTTGAATAAGCTCTTATACATCCTTCTATTTTCTTATTTGAGTTTCCCGTCATCCTTCAATTTTCTTAGTTTATTCTCACGTTTTCTAGCCCTTGTACCATTTTGAAAACTCGAAAGCAAAGGACCATTCAGAACATACTAACAGTAAAAATTACCATTAATATGCCTCAGTGTCAAAATTACCATTGATCAATGGTTAACTAAAATCTACTACTTACATATATGATGACAGCAAGAAAGTAAAACCTGCTTGCTATGCAAGCAACAAATTACCATAATAAATTTGCCACAATAATGAGTGTGAACAATAATTATAATGTGGGGGAACTCTCCACATCCGTTCTAATTCATGACTGTAAAGGGTGGCCCTTTGGATGCCTTGGAAATAATAGTTGCCCAAGGACGAACAAAAAAATGGCAACAAGAACTGACTTATTTCGAATGTTACATAGGAGGGCGCAATAGCTGATACAATAAACCAAAAGCTCTTAATACAGAGTTTAACCCTCAGCCAAACCAACAGCAAAGTGACCAGCATTTTTATCCTGCACTCAGAAAGAAGTTACAGGTGTCAAGTTTATTCAGAAAAGCAGTCTAAAATTAAGCAAATTTTTCAGTGCTATCTTGGAAGAGAGATATATATGAAGCTAACATGGATGCAAACCTGAGATAACATCCGTTGTTTGTTAAGTAATTGTGTCCTTGCTTTGCTAAGGATCGAGTTTGGCGACCTATACATCCTCTGTTAAATACAAATAGAACACATGGAAAATTAGCTTATATCTGAGAGAATGTGAAAAACTGACTACCAAATCTAAGAGTTGCCTCTGTATGAAAAATCCACAGGCCAAAAATGAATAGACACTTAGAAAAATAGTTGACAGATCCAAGTATTCTTATACAACTAACCTTTTCAGCCACAGAAATACGATCCCCTGATAGCAACTTTTTCTTGGGCACAAAACCAAAGACATCATGCAGAAACTGATTATCCTGTCCGCCACAACATAAAAGAGCAGATGATCAGTAACTCACAATGTAAATTCCACCCAATAATGAAATACAAAGTACAAATTTTACCTGCATGTGCTTAACAAATCCTCCTCCAAGAAAATGCTTCAGAAAGTTCAACTACAATTTAAAAGGTAAAGAAATGTCGGAAGCAGCAAAAAAAAAAAAAAAATGTTATGCATGTAAAACGTACAAAAGAATATAAAATTAGAAACCTGTATCAACTCAGCCCATGTATTTGTGTGTAAAGACTCTCCACCAATCTTCATCGAGGTCACGGGAGTATAACCATCCTGATACCAGATTCAAAGTTTAAATAAATAACTTTCCGAAAAAAGAAAAAAAAAATAGAAGGTATTAACACAATGAAAACTTACGTACCTCAATAAATTCCAGAATATCTCGGAATGTGTTCCTCTGATTATTAAGGTCTTTCTTTGCACTACCCTTGCCACTGGCCTCAGACGAAAGACTACGCACTTGATTAAGTACTTTATTCTTTAACCCGTGCATGAACATTGATTTCCTCAAGCTATTCTGCTCATCATTGGAGAAACTAAGCTTAGTTTCTCCACAGAACTTCTCAAGGTTCCCGACTTCAAATATTAATGCAAGAGCTTCACCAGCCGCGATGCGTAACTGTCTGTCGTCTTTATCCAGCAGTGTTGATAAATAAGACACCGACCTGAAGAAAATACTATGAATAAGACCTCACAGCCCAATCATAACATGAATTAACTAACTTCATATATCATAATACTAGTTTATGAATACTAACTCTTGCCAACTCATGCCATTCAGTTCCCTGCCACTTATTGTAGTAAGAAGAAATGACCAGGCAGAGACCACTGTTGTTATTATTGCTGGCGAAGGTTTAGCAGCAGCCACCTGAAGAACACCAGTGAAATTATTTACACACAAAAACAATACTTTAAAAACACACACACACGTACAAGAATGTTCGAACATAAATTCATACATTAGGACCCAATTTCGGATGAGCCATCTGCCACATTATTTGCATTGATTCCTCTGTTTGTTCGGGTTCTTCACCGCCGACGAAAGTAATGATAGCGAGACACTCAAGCAACTGACATCATCACAGCAGAACATTATATCATTGCATTACCATAAATGATATATGAGAAATTGGACACTGAAATTTATATGCAAAATCATGACATACAGATAATATCTTAGATGTTTCGGGTCTAATTCTAAGAGCTTCTGATATAGTGGGGACTGATTCTTCCAAAATCTCATGTGCTTTCTCACCAGGACCGCTGGTCAGAGCTAAAAGACCTACCAAAGGAAAACAACATGGATAAATTGTTACTTGATAAATAACAACAAAGAGTTGATATATGTGAAAGGCCACCGGCAAACCTATTGCATGACACGCCAGTGTAACCTCCTTTGCAGAACCCTTCTTGATCGAATTCAAGCACTGATGCAGCAATGTAGCAAACCTAGACAAGAAAAGACAGTTTTATTTGAGTCTACAATAACACAACATTAAAAGTCTTAGACACTAAATCCATGTAAAAATTCATAAGCCCAATACACTACTCACCAATACCAACTGAAATAATGAATTGTAATCAAATTGGAACCAGCTATCATGCCTATTTGCTGAATATCCACTTATAAGATTGCAAAGATCTGAGATGCAGAACAAAAACATTAAAAATGAAAAATACATACTTCTTTTCAACAAACTCATGCTGTAAGCTGCTGTTGAAAGCTTCAATTATTGATGCCAAAGCCTTCTGTCTAGTAGATCCTCTGCACACCAAAACATAAAATACAAAAGCATTAGTAATATTTACAGTTGAAATTCATCTTAATGATTTCTCCTCGATGCAAGTCATTACAGTAGACTCAATTTATTATCTATTGGATTCATGCATAACCAAAAGTTTGCAAATTAGCACTTTGGCAGGCATCAACTCTTATTTGTCCCGTCAGTGTAACAAAAAACCAATACTTAAGACCTAAGAACAAAAAAAATTGCATAGAAAGCCTAAAACTGGTTTATTTTTATATATGCAATTATAATTTCATAAAGACATACCTCTTCTCATACAAAGCATCTAGACTTTCATCAAGCAAAGTATCCTTATCCACCAGCACTTCCCCATTAACAGACTCAACAATATTACCCAGCATAGATGATGAAGACGAGCCCAAACTTTCTGTATCATCACTATCAAGCATAGCAGAGTTTTTCTTTGACGACCTTCCTACAGTGAAAAACAACAATACCCATTACCCTGATGGTTAGTCTAACAGGAATACATCAACTGGTCAGTGATAGAGATAAAATGAAACAATTTTACTGAGACAACTTCATCAGTAATTATTGTAACATTGACTAATGATAAGGTCTCCTAGTGCTACTTGGCCGAACAGTTAGAATGAAATTTGCACAAATAAGTAGTTAAAAATGACTTTTCCCTCACATCATATGCATCCATTAGTGCTACTTGGCCGAACAGTTCTGAAAATAATGACTTCTACTAGGATTTGATAATCTAATTCTCACTTTTTCCTTTTCAGCAACAGAAATTTGAAAAGAAGATAGTGAAAGAACTCAATTTTTATTAAAGAAAAAAGACTGAACAGGCAGTTAGCACTTCAATTTATAAATCTATTTAAAGCTTTAATCTTATTAAGCTCTCAGTAACTTGCAATTGCAATTAGGAGGTCCAATTCAAGATTCTTGATGAATACAGATCACCATTTGGCTAGATACGATTCTCACTATATTGAAACGTGAACAAGCTTAAACATGTTACACGGAAATCCAGCTCGATCATTCAATCTATTTCTATCGAACTATATTGAATTCTCAATTTTTGGTGGAACATACCAATCCTTCCACAAAAATTTTTGGTTGAACGGAAAATTACTTTATATAACAACGAAAAGATCTCAATTTTGTAATCCTGCTGAATAATTCTACCCTGCAAGAGTAACAGATACACAAAAAAAAATAAAGGAAAAAAAAAAACACACATGAAGGATATGAGAGCAACAACTTACTTCTACCCATGACGAAGAGTCAAATCCAAAACCAATTAAATATCCTCGAGTTGCTTTATTTTGCTGAATCTAGGTCAGAAAGAACCGCTACAAGGACGAACAAAATCTCAACGATGTAAAATGGGTATCCAAAAACCAAAGTTTTGAACCCAATTAAATATCCTCTAATTGCTTTATTTTGCTGAATCTAGGTCAGAAAGAACCGCTACAAGGACGAACAAAATCTGAACGATGTAAAATGGGTATCCAAAAACCAAAATTTTCAACTGAAGATGAATAAAGGGGCGAAACAAACAGCAGCTTCTTCTTAACTGATCCCAAAAACAATTCCATGAAATTAACTCTTCGAAGAATGAGAGAAAGAGAGAGGGGCTCTGGTCGGAAAGGAAAAAAAAGATGCTTGTGGGCTAAGGATTACGCGGAGTCAACACAGACGACCTTTGCGATATAAATAAAGTTAGGTTACGTTAAGGAGTCGTTTGGTATTCCTTGTTTTCCACGGATTTCCTGCTCGTAGTGTTGGGTATTAGGATATGATGTCCCAAACAAAGCGTTCGCGATTTTTTTTATTTATTTATTTAATGCGGGATAGGATTTGAGAGGGGGGAATCGGTGGAGGTGGTGGTCCGGAATTTTCGTTTGAGCAGTGAGATAAACATAATGTGATATGAGTGGTGTGGTCTGGGAGGTTGTGTGGCGCAAGCCGCTGCAGTGTACTGGGAACCCTGTGGCCGTGGGTGCTACGTCATGCTGAGTCCTAAAAAAACTTGAAAAAGTTTTATATAAAAATGGAAATCTCAAAATCAGTATAAGTCAACCAATATGTTGATAACCGACCTAATTTGTTAAATATTAAAGTAAAGATTAATGAAATTATACAAAATCGCCGCTCGAACCAACTCATGTGTCCAACTTAGTGCAACTCGGATTGAACTAAGCACCACACTGACTTTCACTCACGAATGTGGACCTACTTCGCATACAATGAGCAACCGATTTCTCAAAGACTCCTCAAGAACCGACTTCTCGAAGGTTCTTCCTGCAAACCGAGGTCTGAGGTGACCAAAATCCACAGCAGGTGACAAGGTGTTCGCATGATTGGACCGCGTGTCATATTTGCAATCATTGTTGTTCTCTCATTGACCGCTTCAAAAAGCTGCTTAACATTAAATACGATCATATCTACCTCGTACTAGAAGCAGGGACGGATCTAGCAAATATAATGAGAGAGAGCCTAATTATTTAATGACAAAATATATAATATTATAAGAAAAAGTGCAAATACAAAAACATACCTTCATAGTTGTTCTTTACGAGTTTTCATGGTCTGATATCGCTCGAGAATAACATCATTATCAATTTTCAAGAATGTTTCATTTTCTACATAAACTAGTAGTCTATCATTTAACCAATCATCACTCATTCGATTGCTCAATCTATCCTTAATAATATTCATTGCGGAAAATACTCGTTCCACGCTAGCTGTTGCAACCGGTAAGACCAACGCTAAAGTTAAAAGTTTGTAAACCAAAGGAAACACTTTGTGCTTCTTCGTCTGCACCAACTTTTCTGCAAGTTCACCGAGTCCTTTCAATTCTTTAAACAAATTGTTGAAGCGCATATCAACAATGTAGTTCTGCAACTGATCCTCGAGAATGAGAACATCAGATATAGAAAAGTCTTCAGGATAAAACCCGGCCATCTTGACTAATTTGCCTTTGTCGAAAGCAGAAAAAGAATCTTGTGGAGATAAACAAGCTATAAAAAGTAGCAACTCCGTACTAGCCTCCGAGAAACGATCACGTAACTCTTGTAGTTGCAAATCAATCACGACACAGAATAAATCAACTCGATAATGATGCAAATTCGTTATTTGGGTGCATTACAAAGTGGACGACCGCGAGGATCAAATCGAATAAACATGCTAGTCATATCGGAGACAACAATAGAATGTTTCTCACAAAACTGACAAACCTCGTTAAATAATAAATCCCATCCACTATCTCTCAACTCTTGAAGTCGATATCTACAAACTACCAAATCCATTACATTCACAATATATTGGTCTCTTATTTGTAGTGCTTGGGACAACTCATTTGATATTCCCAAGATGATTTTCATCATATGCAAATTTAGCACAAATTCAAAGCAATGAATCGACTTCAATAATATCTCAACCTCTACCTTTTGGATAGAAGTAGAATACTCATCCGCATAAAAAACATCAAGCACATCACCAACGGGAGAAAATAAAGAAATCAAGCTAATCAAAGATCTATAATGCGAACCCCAGCGTGTATCACCCGGCCGTTGAAGACTAGCTTCTTGGTTTAGACCTCATCCACTTGAAATCTCACCCCTTTCTAGTGCCCCATCAATATAGCTCATTTGTTTTTCACGAAGAACATCACAAGAACCCCCAACAACATTTATCAATTGAGAAACCACCCGAAAGAAATCAGCAATTGGAAGATTCTTTGTAGCCACAACTACAAGGGCTAGTTGGAGCTTATGAACAAAACAATGCACATAATGTGCACTTGGGTTGTCATTTAAAATAAGTGTGTTTAAACCTCTAAGCCTCCCTTGCATATTACTAGCCCCATCGTAACCTTGCCCTCGCAATCTAGATATGCTCAAATTATGTCTCGACAACATTTTGTCAATGGCATCTTTAAGAGAAATTGCCGTAGTACTTGTGACATGTTCAACTCCAATAAAATGTTCTTTTACATGCCCACAAGAATCTACATATCTCAAAATGATAGACATTTGTTCTTTAGTCGATATATCACGAGACTCATCAAAAAATAATATATCACAATCTAAAGAGCTATAAGCACCTTAGGGATTGAATTTGAAAATTCTACATAAAAATAATATATTACCATGACCTAAAAAATAAAGTAGAATAATTTTTAACTCCACCAAAAAATAAAGAGATTTTGGTACCTCGCAAATCGGTCTTCTCGAACAATTAGACCAAAAATTGATAAGCTCTTTTATCCTTTTTTCTCTTTTCGCTCTCCCTCTTTCCTCTCTTTTCTCTATTTTTCTTTTTGTCTCTGCGTTTGCGTGAAGACTGAAGTGCCCAGGGCCAGGGGACACTTTTGTTAAATTTGTTTAGTGTTAATTAAATCATTTATCATATTAATATTTTAGTTATTTGGTTATAATGGGTTCAATTCAATATCTAAAATCCGAAATGGGCCTTCCAACAGCATAACCCAACGTTTGCTTCTGACACATTTTGTAGCATCTAGTCACATTGGAAGTTTTCTTTTTATTTCCACTATAAAATTTTGAGGAAATTACACCATACACTACGTCTTAACATTTTTATTACATAATTATAACTCATATATATTTATTTTCAAATTAACTAAAACTATCATATTTATTTACAAATATACTAGATTATTGAAATATGGTAAAAGCAGATTTATTGGGATTTATAATTATCACACGCTTTCTCTCTCTTCCTCTTTCTATTCATCTTATTCTTCTCTCTCCCTCTTATCTCCTTCTCCTACGATTTGCCCCAAATTTCAGAGCATAACCATAAAAAAGATCCGCAGTTCCTTCATCAGATTTGGATGCTTTTGAAAGAGCTGCTTCTGCGAATGACTCAACGGACATCCAATTCGACCAACACTCTTGCAACCTTAGGCCTCGTACCCATGGCAGTAGCTTCATCCACGCGAAGAGGGGTACCAATTAAAGAAGCAATAGAAAAGAGCATCCCAGCTCGATTCGATTGGTAAGCATCATCCGATTTCGCTCAAAATCTCATAAAACTCTTCGCATAATGAATTGATCAATCATCATCAGAATTTTAGAGAAAATATTTTCTCAACCCTCTTCGTCAATCCACCATAGCCGCGCGACGTCTTCATCAGATTCTTGTCCGATCAACCATGGGCATAGCAGTGAAACCGCGAGTTCCGACCACCGTGCAGCAAGGGAGAACCAGGGGTCTCGAACAACAGCAACTCCTTCTCCCTCGGGTGACGTTCGATCAAGTCTGAATCCAAGAGACGAGCCGTCACCGACGAGCCTCCACCGCCGGGATTTTCAAGAAAGGCAGACATAAATCACTGCACCCATCTCGGGAATTTTGAAAAGTCGAGTTTATAAAATGTTCAGGAATCAATACGACACCAACGAGACGACGTGGTTGCCGGCGGGGCGGCTGTTCCAAGTGGAGTACGCGATGGACGTTGTGAAGACGATGGAAAAAAAACTGGGAAATTGGAGATTGTGGGTGGGGGGCCATGAATTAATCGGGTATATGTTATGTATATTTAAGGTATACGTTCTGTATAATATAAGGGCTACCTTATATGTATGTATATATGGTTTATATTGACAAAACATAAACTGATGATTTTTTATTTTTTTTTTGTATATGTATGATTTATACTCGGTATATTTTCAGTATATGATAAAGAAATTTATCGCGAGACCTAATTTTTATGTATAAAATTTATTTAAAAATAGCATAAACTGAATTTTTTTGTTGGTGTTGTGTATATGTATGATTTTATATTAAGTAATATGTTATAATATGTTTTTAAACTATATATATACTTTTATGTATAAAAGAAAAAATGAGGAAGATACAATTTTTTATGGAAGACATTTTTTTCATTGCAACATATACTGAATATATACTAACATAAACGCAATATATACCAGCCGCGTGAATTAAGGAATTCCAGTTGCACACATATACTGAATATATACTAACATAAACTCAATATATATCACCCGAGAGCTACGTGAATTAAGGAATTTTAGTTGTGCACATATACTGAATATATACTAACATATACTCAATATATACCACCTGAGAGCTACGTGAATTAAAGAATTCCAGTTGCGGGAATTAAGGAATTAAATGAGTAAATCACACCACCAAATGATAACTGATATGGATAGAGGACGTTACAAAAGGTAACTGATATTTAGGCAATCAGGTAAATAAAATAGCTTGATTAGGTATATATCCTATTAATTGATCTAGGAAGGTAAAAGTGAAAATTCTTTTATTTCTTGTAGTATGTGTGAAAATTTCCCTAAAATTTTTTTTAATGAGTAAAGCTAATTTAACATGGGCTTTATATATATAGATATAATATGGATCATATATATAGGCTTTTTTTTTTTTCNCTGAGTAATCAAAGGATTACACATGATACCCCTTCTAGCTGGAACTAGAAAGGGAACCAACTGGGGAAAAACACACAATAGGTGTCCCCTACATGACCATAACGGCACAAATTAAAATAACTATCACTACAACAAGACTAGAAACAAACAAAGACCAAAACAAAATAACTCCAAAAAAGAGACAAAACAACTCCATAAGTGTATGTTTTAGTTGTTTTATTAGTTTTTTTTTACTAGTTTTTCGGTTTGAATCCAGCCACATGATCTGGCTCTAGTCTTATAATATGTTAACTAGTACAATACTCGTGTATTACACGTGTACTTGTTAACAAAATTATATTTAAAATTAAATAATAAAATAAACTTTTTTTAGTTTTCAAATAATTTTTTGAAAAAATATATTATTATTATACTTAAATTGACACTGTCACTTACACGACTTACCATATTATATTATAATTTATTTTTAATTTATATCATATAACTACTTTATAGTTACGTTAATTTAAATAATTTTTATTATTTGCGATTACATAATATGCGTAAGTGTTTCACATACTTATTAACTATGCGTCCGATTTGGATATGCGTTGGTATATATACGACAAAATTTTGCATAATTATTAATTCTACGGCTGATTTGGATATGCAATTTTTATATCATATATAATTTCGTGAGTTGTGGAGTGCATTAGAAAATGCAATATATATTAGGGGTGTAAAAGAAGTTGTCCCTAGCAATTATTCTCATTTGACATCAATTCTAAAGTATTCCTTTTACTAAAAGGCTTGTTTTGATATAAAAATTGCTACTAAAAATGGATTTTTTTTTAATTAACATAATTAATTTGAAAAAATGTAATATGATTAGTTGTTAGTGAGATTTTGAGTTTATATTAAAATAATATTTAAAATAAAATATTTAAAGTTGATTTAATTTAGAAGTAAAAGAGAGATGATGTAGGTTATATTTAGTTAAACTTAAAATATGCGAGTTAATAAATAATGAATTAAAATTAATGTAATGTCTAAAAATAATTGATTTATATTACTTAATTATATTTATAATGTTGAAGATAGTAGAATTCAATTAAAGTTAAATTTAGATTTTGAGTTGAATTAAGTATGAATTATAAATTTTTATATTCAATCATGGTCATCCGCTTACAGAAAAAGATAAGAAATGAAAATTAAGCATGTTGTAGCCTTGTGTAGAGATTCAGATTATGGGGTAACATTCCCTCCATCTCCAAATTTGCCGGTTAGTAGTTCAACAGAAAAAATTAAAGAAAATAGTTACAAGGAAAAACGGGTGCATATGTGAGCAGAGAATGAGGAAAAGCTGACAGTCAAACTTTAGAAATTAACAGCGAAGAAGAAGAAAAAGGACAATCTTTTAGAATAGAATAAACCCCAAAAAATGCAAGTGGTAAGGACCGATGAATAATAATATAGTTAATTAATTACCCCACACAATAAAAGTCTAAACCTACCAACCCCAACTAAGAAAGCAACCAATAAATAAATACATAATAAGGAAGAAAAGAAAAAAAGGAGAAGGCATCGAAAGCAAAAGACAGTATTGATTGGTGAAAGTAAAACAAAAAGTTATACCGAAGACAAAAGAACCCACACCAACACGTGCCGATCACGCGCGTGATCTTATCCTCATTTCACAGAAAAAAGGGAAAAACAAAAAGTACTATCAAGCCTTTGATTCCCCGGCCGTCGTCAGCGGGGCAAGGCCCGGCGGAGCTCCTGCGCGAGGAGGTTTGGGGCGGAGAGGTGGGGGAGGTGTCCCTCGATGTCGAGCATGTGCACGGTGGTCCGGCCGCCGAGGTTTTCCTTGAGGTAGGCCGCCATGGATTCCGGCACGGAGTGATCCTTGGAGGTCTGGAGGACTGAGCAGGGGACGGTGACGAGTCCGAGCACTCCCCGGAGGTCGCTGTTGAACACCATCCGCGAGACGAAGAGCGTGATGTCCGGCCGCATGTTGAACAGCGTCCGGCTGAATTCGCGCACCGCCTCCGGCACGTCCGCCCCCACCGCCAGCGGCGCGAATCCGCTCACCCACGCCGCGTAGTTCGCCTCCATCGCCGCGAACACCTTGTCGATCTCGCCGTCCGCGAAGCCGCCGTGGTAGTTCCTGTCGTTCAGAAACCTACAGTTTCCCCCAAATTAATTAATTAATTAATTTACGAACAAATAAAAATTAAAATTGGGGGCGGGTCGAGATACCTAGGGGAGGTGCCGATGAGAATGAGCTTGGTGAAAAGGTCTGGGCGGCGGATGGAGGCGAGGATGCCGATGGAGGCGGAGACGGAGTGGCCGACGTAGGTGCAGCGGCCGAGGCGGAGGGCGTCGAGGATGTCGAGGAGGTCGTCGACGAAGGCGTCGAGGGAAGTGTAGCGGCGGAAGTCGAAGTAGTCCGGGTTGACGCTGCCGGCACAGACGAGGTCGTAGAGGACAACGCGGTGGTCGCGGGTAAAGTAGGGAAGGATCCGCTGCCATGCCGATTGATCGGTGCCGACGCCGTGGGCGAGCACAAGCACCTTCTCGCCGGAGCCCACGACTCGCACGTTAAGCGCCTCTAACAGACTCTGCACCATTCCTTTTTNAAAATTGATTTTTTTTTTTATGTAAACAATATAACTTATTTACAAAAAGAAAAAAATGAATTAAATTAAAATTGATTTTTATCTTTTTGTATAAAAATTAATTTTTAAAATTGTATGCACAAATAATGTGTTGATATCCGAACTTCTCACCGAATGAAAACATGACACGTGTTGATAATTAGTAATAGAAACCAGTCTGTGAACGACGCAAGTTTGGAGCAAAATCTGCCGAGAATTGTTATAGACGAACTTTAGTTCGGATTTCTGAAGAGTTCGAACACCATTTCGGCTTATTTTCTGTCATCCGTTCATGCATTAATGACTGACAAGAACTTACAGCTTGTCGGATACGTGTCACTACCCCCGTCGTTGATCTTGGTGGAGATTCGGCCCGCAATCATTGGGCATTTAATGTTGTTGTACTTTTCAAAAATAGAATATCACTTGTACCAGTTGTAGTTGTACTACACACACAGTACTAATTCTTACCCGGGGTATATATAGGCTAAAAAGCCACCGTAAAAGCAGAAATTCTATGGTGCCCATATGGGCACCATAGAATTTCTGCCGTAAAAGGATCTTTTGGGAAAAAGAATTAAAAACCACAAGAAAAGGATCGAACTCCGAAATAGTTCGACATCACATTAATAAAGAAAAATAATATTTCTCTTACACATTCGTCGCTACAAATCTTTTTAGCAACAGTTTAGCTAGAGGAAGGGCTCCAGCTTGTTTTGGAGTAATCTTCGACTTATAAACAACATTACTTTACAAAAAAAAAAATATGTCATCATCTAGCCAAAGTAATGAATCCGAGTATGTTGGAGCCGAACAACCACCTTTGGGGGGTCCCAGCATTGATTTTGCCATGTTGATGCAGAATCTGACTCCGTGAAAAGGATCCTCAAATCTCTTGTTGCAAACTTTACCATCACCTTCGAATATTCTTATGACACCAGCCAAAAAGGATTTGAGCAATGTGTTTAACAAGCAAAAGGGACCAACTTGCTCGCATCCAACTGCACAATGTACCGATCGTTCCAACAGTCAAGCGGATGCGTCCACGGATCAGAACTAAGAGAAAGGGACTGGAGATAGTAAGTTCGAGGACAGTCGTCACACCAGATCCACAACTCCCTCGGTGTTCCAATGTCTATGAAAGAAGAAAAATCAACCCGACCTCTGAGAAAATTACTGAAGAGTCACCTGATCAGGCGAGAATCGAAAGAAGTTGTTGCTCTGAAGAAAAATGTGGCAGAGCTTGAAGTCAAACAAAGGTCAACTGACAAATATTCTGACCAACAGCACATGTCCACGGGAAACTCAGTGGCGGAAACAGTTTCCCCAATGTCATCAAGCATCATGCGTGGACAAGTTAAAAGTCCCGCAAATTGGCCTATATGATGGAAGTTCAGAACCTGACGCCTACCTAGGACTTTATACTTCTTAAATGGACCTTCACGGTGCAAAGGACGCACTCAGATGCCGCATGTTTTCTCTCACCCTGGTGCCACAGGCACAAAGATAATATCATTCTTTATCTCCTCACTCCATTCAAAACTGGCAACAACTCAGATCGTATTTCAGATCTCATTTTATCGGCTTCCAAGTGTGCATGATTTCGAAGGAGTCAATTACGAACATCGTCTATGGAACAGACGAGAGTTTGAATGACTACATCGCGCAATTTAACGAACGCGTGTAGAATATGGAACCTTGTCAAGAGATGTCGTTAGTCTCCGCCTATTCAGGTCTGAGGCCGAATTCATTTTTTCGATGGTCGTTGTGCCAAAACAAACTGCAAACTTATTAGGAGTTTATCGCACGAGCACAACAACACGTGATCGTGGAAGAGTCTATGTATGTCCCATCATTTGGGCCCATCAGTTCTACGAATACAAAGGCCAAGGAGAATAAGTCCGATCGTGATCCCACAAATGATACGCGAACTGCACAAGTTCGAGCTTTAAAAAGCAGTGGCAAGAGGAGTTGAAAGCAAGTTATCATGGATGTATTCGGCAAGGGCCGCCATCGTGTACGAGGAACTGAAAATAAGGGCATCATCCCCAAACCGAGGCCCATGCGAGCTACGAAGACCAGCTCGATAAGTCACGATATTGTGCATACCATAAATCTTATGGTCACAATACCGATCAGTGTTGTAACCTTATGTCTAAGAAGCTCATCGACAATCCGCAGGTTAAAAAGTTCACGAGGAACCCAGAGGGGAAGAAGAGAGGCCGGATAGAAGATGACCCAGTCAGTGAAGACGAGCGAGAACCAAATGTAAACCCAAAGAGGATGAGGGATCCGCTTAAAGAGATCCTGACCTTAAGTCGAGCACATCATGACAAAGCAAGTTCATCCCGAGTACGAAAATGCAGCTACTGTTCAATGACTCGTGCCGATCGAGGAGAAGGACAATCCCAATTAAGGAGATCTTCTCCAGTCCGGTTGGTGAACACAAACCGCGGAGGACCGATCACATCCGGAGACAAGCAAAGACGTATGCCAGACGCACTTACAGCGCCGAATAGCAAGTGCAGAAGGCCGAAATCAAGCTGGCTAACTTTTTTCAAACTAACCCAGTAACTTTCTCAGCCGTCCCCTTCGATCACCCTTTTTCGGATGCCCTTGTTATCACAACATCGATTTTGTACATACCGGTGCACAGAATTTTGGCCGATACAGGGGATTATGCCCTTGTTATCCCAAAATCGATTTTGTACATACCGGTGCACATACCTTGTTATCAAATGCTTGTAAATAAGATGTTTGCTAGTATGATAGGTGAAACAATGGAAGTCTATGTTGACGATATGTTAGTAAACTCTGTATTCGCAACCGACCATATAATTCACCTTAGTAAAATGTTTGCTAGTTTATGCGATTTCTCAATGTTGTTGAACTCAAAGAAATGCACGTTTGGAGTGAATTCAAGAAACATTTAGGCTATATTGTTAGCCAAAAAGGAATCGAAGCCAATCCTGATAAAATCAAGGCAATATTGGACTTAAAGCCGCTAAATTCTGTAAATGGTGTTAAAAGTCTTACAAGGCGGCTGACCACGTTAAGCCGGTTCATTTTCCAATCAATCGATCGATGTAAACCCTTTTTTGAGGTCATAAAGAAGGACAAAGAATTCGAATGGATGCCAAAATGCCAAGAGGCCTTCAAAGCGATTAAGGCCGCCCTCATTCAACCTCAAGTATTGCAGAAAATAAAACACAGGGAAATGTTTTATCTCTACCTGGGGATCTCGGAATCAACATTAAGCGATGCCTTGATAAGGGAGGAGAATTCTCGTCAATACCCAGTATATTACGTGAGCAAGTCCCTTCACGACGCCGAATTAAGGCATTCCCTTATGTAAAAGCTGTCATACTCATTGATAATGATGGTTCGAAAGTTGTCCGATAACTGGGCTATATTTCTTCCTGGCGGGGAATGCGTGTCTCTTTTCTCCGGCGTCTCAAATGCATTCGGTATCGAAGTCTTTGCAATCATCGCTGCTACCGTCGTATCTTTGGGTTTCTTCAGCGTCTTAAATATGCTTCGCGCCGGAGTATTTTGGGTCTTCGTTGTTTACGCTGCGTCTTTGGATTTTCTCCGGCGTCTTGAATGTGTTCTGGGTCGGAGTCTTCAGGGTCTCTGTTGCTTCCGCTGCGTCCTTAGATTTTCTCCGGCGCCTTCAATGTGTTTCGACCCGGAGTCTTCACGGTCTTTGCTGCTTCCCCTGCGTCTCTGGATAGCGTCGTATTCTGACCGTTTCTAGATAAATAAAGAAATAGTCTTGTAGTGGTGTTCACAAAGTGAATTTAACTCCAAATAACTTATGGAGACTTCCTCTAGCACCAAACTGTTGATAAACGGATTTGATCAACGAGTTAAAAGTCTTTTGAAACAGATTTGAAGGTTGTTTGATTTAGGTAGATGCGAATAGTTGTCGTGGAAAGAATCGAATGAAATGGAAGTACAGAACAGTGCAAGAATGTGGCACAATAATAGTGGCTTAGTTCGGCCGTTATCGCTCGGTCGACTATTTTACTTAGTATATATTACGAGAATCTTTATCTCGTGAGTTGTACATTTTTTTCATTACCCCCACCCCTCTTCCCCCTTATGATCTAATACAAGGGTGTACATTCATCAGGTCCGTTCGGTCAGCATTTAATTGATTGGACAAGGGTATTTAACGCATCGTGCTACTCTATGAGTCTAAGACTGGTAGGCCGGCAGGTTAGCATGCGAAGATGTACTTCCTCATCATTAGGCTGCAAGTGGCCTTTATTTTATTGCTTTCTGCTCGACCTGTTAGTCCAACTCAGTTTGAAGTCGCTGTCTTGGATTCAACCTCCTTGCCTATAAGCTCGTTTCTTTTCTATCTGATGACGTTTGCGAATCCAGCTCGTCTTATTGAACGTAGGCGATCTTATTCCCTTTTGTAGACCCGTTTTTCAACTCAGAGGTCAACAAAATGAATGAAGATTTGTGGCTAACTAAATAAAATACGAATCATGCATAAACTAGCCGAGTCGAGTTCTATCAATCTCGATGTTAAATGATTCGAGTCAAGTATGCACGTTCATTAAAAAAACTTTTTATATGACATTAAAATTTTGAAGGTTTATATTCCATTTCATTAAAAATAATATAATAAAATTAAATTGAAGATTTCATACATCAAAATATTAATTACTGAAAAATAATATATAGTTCATGTATTCTAAATTATGATTCAATATCTCAAATAAAATTGCTCAATACGAATTCTATTTAACAAAACACTGAAAAAATAAAAATAAAGAAAAAAAGTGACAAATTAAGCTAAAACTGACAAAAAATATCCGTGATTTTTATTTGTTGGTTTAATTTACAATAAATTTAAAATAATTTAGATCATCGATTACAAATTAATATAACAGTACAATCTAAAATATTTTTTTATTACTACATATATAGAAATATAAAAAAATTAAGGCTGGGCTCGACCCAGCCCAGCCTTGCCTACGCCCATGCTTCCACCCCTAGCAATCTAGAAAGAAAGTGTCATCATAGAATATGTACCTTGAGTGTCACTTGAAATGATAATGCCACAAGTAAACAAAAGACAAAAGTGAAGCGAATTATGAAAACCACACCAACTTTCACCAACACCCCCACAACAACTTGGAAAGAGAAAAAAGTACTCGTGAGCTTACCCGATACAAGTTAACGTGGTTGTGCACTTGATGTTGTGACAAGCCTTTTATCATGTATATATATATATATAGATAGATTATAGATAGACAGTTCATGTTCTTTTATTATCATATGAATTATGAGAGGCCAAATCAAGACCTACCCTAAGCTGAAAAAACTTGTGGTCTCTACTCTAACCCCTCCTTTAACCGCTCTTGATTAGCTTATGCATTGAGAGCACCAAATATAATAATAAATCCATAAGAAGAAAGAAACAAAGAGAAAATACAAAATACTAATGGTAGAAAGCAAAAGTAATAGCATAACAAGATCAAAATCGAGGTGGGCCCGGGCAAATTTACAAAGATTTTTTAACAGCACGTTACATATATACAATTATGGACTACCTCTTTTCTCATCCTCTCTGTGTGTCNTTGTCCTTTTTCTTGGATTTCCTTGGACAGGGCAGAGGTGATGCGCATGTGATGTGAGATCGAGAGCGACATGTCAGACGGTGGTAGCAGCGGCGTTGGCGGATCTTGGCTGCCTTAGAAGCTCTATTAGTGCTTCTGCCTGTCATTTTTTTACCCAAATACAGAATAATAATAATAATTATTATTATTATTATTGCTAGTCCCAACATACCGTACCAAAACTTCGCACGCACACATTAATTAACTAATAATTGAATCACAAGAATAATCCACCAGGTCATCTTTGTTGGCATGCGGTAAGCTCCCATTTCCTAGTAGTCTTCCATACAGTTTTTTTTCTAATCCGTTAATTAAACTACACACTACACGACTTCATTTATGCATACAAATATATTTAGTTTAATTGTAAGTAGAAAAGAAATACGGAAAATGCTACACGTACATAATAAAAATGTACATAGAGGTGTACATAACACTCACACGGGCGAGGTCCACTTGATTTTTTATTTTTTGTAAGTCCAGGTCAATGTGAGTGTTATGTACACCATTATGTACAATATTATGTATCTATAGCATTTCTCAAGAAATACAATGATATCATGCTGATTTCTTGCAAAGAATTATGCTTTATTTCTAACCCGCCGTGACAAGATTAACAAACACATCATCAAGTAATGTCACTAATTTAGCGTAGTAATTCAGCGAGATGCATAAAAAGTATTCGTGTTTGAACAAATACAAAAATTACTCAATAAAATCAACTTAAAATGCCCTTTGTCCTGTCCTGCCCTATCTAGCACCCGAATTTTCAGAATGAACAATGGATACCTCTAAGGACTTGGACATCATCTGTTGGATAGGAACCCAAGTACGTGGGGAACCGAATAATGTATAGATGATTTTGTACACATTTAGAATTTGAAAAATAGTCATGGTTAGCCAGAGGGCTCAAATATGAGAACTCGAAAAACAGTATATATGACCATTTAAAACAAGGATGATAGAATATACCATTTGACTCACCTAATTGTTTGCTTTCGTATGCTGTATGGCTTATTGGGTATATATGATCAAACATAAAACTTAATAAGTGTCCTCTTACCTAAGATCTAATAAGCAAAACCACGCTTTTTGAACTAATACTTGGCAAATCATCTTTTGGTTTTCTTATAAGGCTCAACTGATAGTTAGCAAACATACCTCTCAAGCTAAATGAAGAAAGTTCAAGTGTCAACTCTCGTGGGAGCCCCTTCATTTGTTACTAATTAATTATTAATCAACATTTAGACAATGACAACCCGCAAGAAAGTAACCCGTCAACCAAACAGCATTAACAAATGAAAAACCGCTACTTATTTCCAGTTACTTAAACGAAATACTAATCACACAACATTCACTAAATTACATAATTTGATCAGTTAGCCCAAAACTCACCAATGTTTATTCCTGAGCAAATATCCATAACCAACTTATAACTGTATCAATCTTCACAATCTCATTCCAAATACTCACTTTTCACCATTCATTCTTCACAAGAAAGCACAAACTACAAAAATTACCCTGGTTTTAATAGCTAATTTTTACTGGTAACCACATCAATATTGATTTCTTGTAGTTAATATTTATTAAAAGAAAAAGTTAAACCAAAACATTATCTAACAAGCATAACCATGATCCACACAATGTAAGCCAAGTAGGAAGTAGGCCGCAAAAAAATTCCGGACTCCATAGAAGGTAAAAAGAGGAAATTATTTACCTTTTGTTTGGCACGACTAGTGCCGGTTTGGGACAAGGCCACTAATGGCGGAATTGCTCCCTCTCGAGCCACCATGGTCCGATAAGCCACAGAGTCTTGGCACAGCTGCAACAGTATAGCCACTGCAATCTCCTTCTGGCGGTGGGTCCCCACCTCAACAATCTCCACCAGTACTGGAATCCCGCCTTCTTCCACCAGGGCCACCCTTGCCTCCGGCAGCGGCACCAGAAGGCTCAGCACGTAAGCCGACTTGTCCACCATGCTCGACCCCAGATCTGACATCATCTCCACCAGCGGCTTCATAATACCCGCCTGCACTGCCCGCACCTTGTTCTCACGCGCCCCACACAGAGAGTAGAGCGCCGTACACGCATCCTTCTTCCCCCGCAGGCTCCCCCCCTCCAGCAGATCCACCAGCGGGGGGATTGCTCCCGACCGTCCGATTGCAGACTTGTTCCCCTCCACCTGCGACAGGCGGAGCAGCGCGCACGCCGCGTTCTCCCTGGCGGCAGAGGTCCCCACTCGGAGCGCGCGCACGAGCGGCTTGATCGCGCCGGCGGAGGCGATCTCCTCCTTGTTCTCGTCGCACAGGGAGAGGTTAAGGATCGCCGTGACCCCGTACTCCTGGAGCTGGGGGTCGGGGGAGGAGACAATCGAGACGAGCGGGCGGATCGCGCCGGCCCGGGCGATCCGGAGGCGGTTCTCGGGCTTGTTCTTTGCGAGGAGGCGGATTTCCATGGCGGCCTGCTTCTGGACGTCGGGGCAGTCGGAGGCGAGGCCTGCGACGAGCTGGGAGATGAGCTGGTCAGAGTTGTCGGCGGCGCAGGCGAGGAAGAGGCGGCGGCTCTCGGAGGAGGCGGTGGGGAACTCGCCGGATCTGTCGCTGTTGCAGTCGCTGAAGGCGGAGGAGGAGGAGGATGAGTCGTTGAGGGTGAGGTCGGAGAATTTGCGGCCCATGTAGGTGAAATTGGCTTCCATTGGGGGATCCAATTGAGGTTTTGCTCGTCAGTTGTTGATCATGGCTGAAAAATGGGGGAAATTGGAGTTTTGGGGGGTTTATGAGTAGAGAGAATAAGGAGTTGGAAACGACGGCGTAAAGGATGGGGCTAGGCTTAGGTAGTAGGATAGTAGGGATATAGGGAGGGTTGAAATTGAATTAACAAGTCTTCAAGTGAGACCTTTCCATTCCAAGGGAAGAAGAATATAAGCAGACGAGAGAGAGAGAGAGGGTGAATGAGAAGGAGGAACACGTGGAGAGGTGCTACACATCACGTTTCATTTCGCAGCACGTGTGAGGTGTCTCTTAATCTTTTCACGCGTGCCGAGAAAGTTCGTTATTCCCTATAACCTCCCTCTCTCTCCTTATTTTTTTCCCCTCTTCCTTCACGTCCTAATTAGCTTAAGCTTTATTCGATTTTTAGTCTATTTATGTGATAAGGCTACGTCAAGTTCAATTATTGTCCATCGTTTTCTTGTGAGTTTATTAATTAGTACTATCAACTGCAGGCTTGCAGCACTATGCATTGTAATGTATGGGTAAGAGTTAGCCGTGGGGGTGTTGTAAGATGGAAGACCTTTAACTTTATTAAGAGTTTTATGTATCATGTGGACATGGGATGACAAAGGGCCATACTAAATCGGTCAATATATATTAGCTTCTTGACATAGACATGTAAATATGAACATCAAACTCAATATAATCAAATTCATCAAACCATGTATAATACCCACCATCTTAAAATTAGCTTTTATTTTGGTTAAGCTATTCATTGTTTCGTGAAATTCCAACATCTATTCTTAATTAAGTACCACTATAAGAATTTTGAGTTTTACTAACCGAATAACCCATTGACTATCAAGTTTCTCGGTAAATGTCAAACTGAGTTTCTGAGTTTTACTTTGATCATTGTTGACCAAAGTAGAAGAAAGAACAGGAGCTTGATTCCAGGACTCGATCATAATGTCGTAAGCAAGTTGGGAGGAGTATTGGCATATTTGATAGGGACGGTTTCACGCCATCTGTCTAGAACTGGAGAGGAGAAGGAGGTCACACATATATAGAAGAATTTTTTCCTCCATTTAGGAATATTGGAAGAGATATCGGCCACAAATTTAGCCATATTGCGGTTTGTAAAATACAAAGCCTTTTTTTGGTCTTTGGCTACGTACGTAAGAATAAAAAGCAAAATCAGGTCGGTACGACCTAGTCTTCAAAAAGAAAGAATGGAGTATACAATGAGGTGTCAAATTGCATTAAGAGAAAGCTAATTGAGGGAAAGCTCGAAAAGTTTGCAGAGGTCGAGGAGGTCTGTGGTGAATCTGAGTCCAAGCTACATCTGGTCGCATAAGAATGTGTAGCAACCAGGCGGGGGATGCTTGAAGACGTCATAAGGTAGAGAGGAAATGTAATCCCAATATTTGGGCAGGCTACACTTGATTAAAAAGTAATCGATTTGATCTTCACTCATATAGTCATATAGATAGTGCCAGGCCTGCGAATTGCGGTAATCCTGACGTGGTAGATCAGGGAGGAAAATCAACTTCAATTTCTTCGTCGATGAGTTGAAGAGGTCGAGGAGTGGAGGATGTAACACAAGAAGGGGATGGGACAGACGAAAATGGACGAGGAGCAGAGCGAAATGAAATAGGAGTAGGTTCAAGAAGGGATGTTGAAAGATGGATCGCCCCTGATCGTTGGATCAAGATCAAAATGGACGGTCAAGATTGAAAAAGCTAGTCGAAGAGACAGGTTGAGCAAGACTATTAGATCAAAGTCTGAACAATGGATGAGATTAAAATCAGAGGAGGTGAAGAGACAAAATATTTATGATCGTTGGATTAAAAGGTAATCAAAGGGACGTCATCAATATTGCGTTAATGGGAACTCTACACAACGACCACACAGACCGTGAGGTGGTTACGTCAAATATGACGTTTGGACTGATTTGATCTGACAAGTGGCAGAGATTTGAAATTCAAAATCTGAAGTTGGGACATCAGCCAAAGGTCGAATATGTCATTCTAGGATTGGAGGAAACAAGGTGAAGTGATCTATTAAGAAAAGAGTGAGCTCACCAAGTGGGATAAAAGATAGAAGGATTTACTCTTAGATCGAGTCATCCTAACTCGACCAGAGGGGGGTGGGAGGACCAGATGATATGGATGTCATACTGGGACGACTTGACCCGAGAAACCAGCCAACCTAACTGAGTGAACCGGGAGGTCGATATGAGATCGAGAGAGGCATTAGGTCGATGGAGACGCAGAGAGGTCGAGCTAGGACCCTTGGATGGTCAGGTAGAAACTTGACCTGGAGGCATTATGGTCGAAAGATCTACCAAAGGACCGAGCACATGAGTCTAACCGGGAAGGCGATCTACCTGATGATGAGGGGTCGGTCTCATGGTTAGATGGTCTAACGAAAATATATTTCAATGGAATTTCAATGAAAATTCAAATGGATATTCTAATGCTATTATTTCCGTTGGAATTTTTCAGTGGATTCCAATGAAAATTCCAAACAAAAATATTCCGTTAAAATTAATTTCCATTGGAATTTTCGTTGGATTTTGACGACTCCAACGGTTGAAATATGAGAAGAAATAAAATTCCAACAAAAATTTCTAAGGTAATAAACAGTTGAAAAAATAGTTGGAATCATCAAATTTCATCTAAAATTCCAATGCAATACTTTCACTAGAATTTTTGTTGGAATTGTTCCAATGGAAGCTACAACATTGAAATATCCGTTGAAATTGCTATTGAAATATATTACCGTTGGATTTTGTGTTGGAATATAGCATTTTTTGGTAGTGATATAAGATAAGATAAAACACAAGTTAAATGGAAAAACAAATAAAAATTATATTAAAATAAAATCTTTAGAATAATGATGTTATTGGACTATCTAACCATCAAGCAGTCATACGTTTTTTTTAATAAAAAAAATTACATATTTATATTATGAAATATTATACTTTTGTTTATGGTATATTTTAAGATATGACGGTTAAATATAAAATACATAAATTTGTTGGAAGAGTGTAGCCCCCTTATTAATTATTAAGGGCATCTTTAACAATAGCTTTTGGTGAGATTTATAAACATCACTAAAAGGAAGTTCACGGAGTTTATTGTTATTGGAGGTTTATAGGTGTAGGAGTAAGAATGCGGTTTTAGATGATGTGGCAAGTTGAGAAGTGTAAAAGAAGGTTTATGGGACTTAATTGATAAATATGTTCTTAGAGCATTTTTATCAAGTCGAGGTTTATAAACTTCTTCACACTTTCCAACATGTCACATCATCCAAAACCTCATTTTACTCATACAATTAGGTTTGTTATCGAACCGAATTGAACCGAACTTAAAGTTTGCGAGCTTGAGTTCGACTAATTTTTGAACATGTTTGTGTTCGTTTGTTTACTAATCGAACAAAAAATTTCGTTCGTTTATTGGTTTGACAAGTTCGTGTTCGTTCGTTTATATAGTCGAACTTATTCGTGAACTGTTCAAATTTTTCGAACTGTTTGACAAGTTCGCGTTCGAATTGTTTGACAAGTTCGTGTTCGTGTTTGTTGATTTTTTTGTTATTTTAATACCATACAAGTTATTTTATTTAATATTTAATATATCATATTTATATATTATATTATATATGTATATACTATATATAATATAAAATTATAAAATACCTTTTTGTTCGCGAACTTGTTCGTATTCGTTCGATAACTAAACGAGCTTAATTTCACGTTCGAATTCGGTTCGATTACTAAAGGAACGAGCTGTTATTGAACACGAACGAGCTTTGTTCGCGAAAGCAGCCCTACCTACAATATCATAAACCTCCACTAATAATAAACCACATAAACTTACTTTTTACTGGTCTTATATTTTCCCATGTGCTCCAACTCCCTCTCCAATATCTCTTGTTTTTTATTTTAATACTAGAAGGCTACGGTTGTGCATTCCAAGGCAAGTAGACATTTGATGGCTATGAAGATGTAAAGAGGTAAACACAATAAGGGAATGAATATTACATTAGTGGAATACGAATCCATAAGATATGATCATCAAAAGAAGTCACAGTAGTTAGTAGACAACACCAAAATATACCAAGTGTGCATTAGAATTCAAAAGCATCTATATGCAAACAGATGCTTAGAATTATATGCAATACAATTGGCAAACACAAAAGTTTAGTTTGTGTGGCATATATACCACTAAGAAGTAGCAGAAGGCAACAACATCTATATGTGAATAGATGGCTGAAATAGTGGGCAATGTAGATACAAAATACAAAAGATGTGGTCCATAGAATTTGTGGTTCCCCAAAGTTTTAATATGCAGTCATAGAGAAGCTAGTCCATTTTCGGGCGACTTTTCTTTGTTGGGCTTGCATCAAATAGCGTACTGGTTTGATGAGTGTGTTGGGCGGATGATTCAGGAACCTAGGTGAATGGGATGCTGCTTCCTGAGGTGGAGGATTACTGATTGTCGAAGCTGATGCGTTTTTTGATCGCTGAATCCGAAGATGCAATTGTTGTAGGCTTTTTACGTGCTGGAGTGAGGAGGTAAGAACATTTTTCAACGTTGGACTGAAGAGCTCTTTGTCCGTTACCTGTTTCGTGAATGTAGATTAGTTACATTTGAAGATTAGGATGAGATATAACAAAATTTATACCTCAACACAAGACAGAGCCTTAATTCTCACTCACACTAAGATACTGAGTTAAATACAATTGCACAACATTTTTTCTTTGCTAATATTCTTCACAAGATTATATACCGAAGATAGCTCCCAAGATAAACTTAAGGAAAATCAAAAGCCCAAAACCAAGGAATGGAACTTCTTGTTGGTTTCAAGCTGTTTCTTTTTTCATTTTCTTTTTTTTTCCTCTCCAAAACCCCTTAAGTTCTCATTTTCTACCTCCAAAGACCATAGAATTTTTATTTATGTCATAGTTGATATTGTACCCACTACAAGAATAATCATTTTTAGTGGCAATAATTTTTGTCGCTATATGTTCAAATGTCGTCACTAAAAATACCGTCGCTATATGTTCGAATGTCGTCACAATAATCATTTTATAGTCATGACATTAATGTCGTCACTAAAAATAGTGTCGCTAATAATGATTATTCTTGTAGTGACCTTTGTTGAAGCGGAGGCTAATCCTTCTTTGGTTAGGTCTTTAGGTTAAAATAATAATTTTAAATTTAAACTTTAACCAACTGAACTCACTTCTGGGGTTCTCTGTATCTGCGTATTTGTTCAAGTCCACAAACGCATGAATTTCTATTTGGCATGGAAGCGGAGGCGACACCTTTTCTTGGAACTCTTCAACCAAAGTTTTTTTATGCAACAGCCAATTGAATTCGTAATTCGTAAGGGCCAACTTGGTACAGTGGGGTTTCTAGCCGCACTTACCCTGTTATGCAAGAATAATAAATTTACCATAGATATCCTTGAGATTTGTTATTAAATTCAATTAATACACAAAGCATAAGTCATTTACAGACCTCTCCATCACTGAATAAGTATCTTCGATAGAGCACTTGTGAATCACTTTTGTTTGCTTGAATAGGTGCCCTCTCAACGACTTGAATAAGCGCAGTCCAGTTTCTCGTTTCATCAGTGATTTGGCTAATGGGTAGATAGGTCCTCGACATCATTACCTGCATTCATTGATAAGACAGAAATCAAAATTTGAAAAATAGTAGACCTTATGTAATATAGTCTTTAGTAAATTAAACAGACAATTTTTTTAACATAACAATGCTAATTTTGAGTACATTGTGGTGCTGCAGCTGCTTCGATCACTTCATTGTAAACGATATTTTTTGTAGCATAATTTCTTTTGGGATCAAATAAAGGTGGTTTAATAACAAATCTAATTGTTGATGAGAGTTTTACGCGTGACAGGGCTATATAAAGTTGACCATGCGACTGGCTCTTTTAAATAAACACCAACTGAATCTAATGTTTGCCCCTGGGCTTTATTAATTGTCATAGCAAAACATAATCGAACGGGGAATTGAATTCTTTTGTAAGGCACAGGAAGTTGGTAGTTTTAATGGAATTCTATGTATGAAAACATTCTTCCCTTTGAATTTTCCTACAACGATTTCTGCATGAATAATGTTTCGGCTTAACTTCTTACAAATTAGTCGTGTTCCGTTGCATAATCCTTCTGTTGGGTCTAAATTTCCGAGTAGTATAATGGGAGCATTTACTTTTAACTGTATCTTATGTGGAGGCATGCCACCAGGTGTTAAAGAATTGATAATGTCTTCATAGAGGCACTCTGCTTATATGTTTTGTTATACGTTTTGTTAGGAAGTTCCAGCGCACAACCACAGCTTTGCAAAAATGCAGTTTCTGTTGAATTAGTCATTTTGGTATTTAATATTTTATCTGCACAACTTAGAGGAGCTGTCAGTCTATTTATTCCATTTGTCTTGAGGTTTTTGTTTGTTCCATGAAAAAGGGAATTTGTAGAAGTATTCTCTAAGTTTTGCTAAATGTACTTGCATACCAGTATTCTCTAAGTTTTGCTGAAATGTACTTGCATACCCGGCTTCAATGTTAACATTCTGCGTTTTTGTTTTGTTTTTCCATCTTTAATGGCGTACTGCCGATACCTTTTTTTAGAGGATGGAACTATGCTGATGCAATACCAATTTTCCGTCAATGACTTATTTTTATTAGACATTTGTTCCACCGATTTCTATAGATTTAAAATGTAACAAACGCAATAAATACAACCTTAGTAACTAAGGTCAGGCAAGAAAGCAAACTACTTAAACAAGTTTCTAATGTATTATATAATTAACCTAAGATATCATAAGAAAAAGAGAACACAATTTTTTTTTATTTTTTATTTTTTTTTGTAATACTTTACTCACACACCTGGCTATATGCTTTTACTTAGTCTAATTTAACTCCACTATATAGCAAGACCAAATAACAAAGTCAAAACATCAATCTTTTATTTTACTCGATAAACAGCACCCAAGAAGAAAATCCGATAAGCAAAATGATTTACTTTATTAATAATAAACAAGTAATACTTAAAAGGATAATGGTAAGCAAACAGGTGCACAAATTGGTAAATGAAAAAAAGTAGTTAATAGGTGATTTGCATGAAAAGAAGCTAACATGATAACAAGTAACAATCACCTTGTTCTCCTTCCTGACTTCCAAAGGCTTCACCAAGCAGTTCCACCAAATAACAAAGCCACCTATATATTTATTAATAAATAATAGGTCATGCAGATCACCACATAAATGAACATTGTGTATAACAAATTGATGCAAATACATATATTAATGAAAGCAGTAGCTAAGTAACCAACCAATATGCACATCATATGTATATAAGTAAAAGTTTCTTATTATGACTATATTCTTTGATGTCTGAAAAAGCATTAAAGTTTAACACAAAACTATGAAGACATATCCTTCCATTACCTTATATATAAACCTTTCCACTTAATCAGCAGCTATGGACGATTTTGAAGGCAGTGAAGGCAGCAGTACCTTGTAAACACACAAAAGACAACCAAAAACAGTAATTAGACCCCAAAAACGCCATCATGAAAGGCTTGAAAATTATAATAAAATTAATAAAAAAAATTAGTTTGCTGCACATGAGGCACGGGCCAGTCCCCCAAAAGAAATACAACAGACTATAAGGCAAGCAAAAGTTCATTTATGTGTAAAACAACAAACTCTTACGAACTTTCATTTAACAATGAACAAATACAACTGCAAAACAGACACAGACAGACAAATCTACGCAAATACAACAACTGCAGATCAGTTCTATCTTGTAGTCTGTAATTGAAATAGATAGATTGATAATTTAATGAAGATCAAAAGCCTATATACTTCAACTCTATGAAAACCAACACAAAGATGTTTTACTTTGTTTTAGAGATTGAATTAACATACAAACTTTACACAGAGCAGATAATAAAAAGGTAGACACTAAGGAACAGAAAATTATTTGCAGCTTCTTCCTTCTTCTGGAAAATGTTGAGAGCAATTAGGAAAAATGATACCTAAAGAGGTGCATTAACTTTTTTTTTCTCTGCGAAATAAAAATGGATGGCAATTTATATTGTCCGGCCCATATAAGCTTTAATATAGATTATCAATTTAAAATATTGCATATCACAATTAGTGGAGTCATATCAAATCAGCATCTATAGTCCTACAAAACTAAAAATAGAACACAATAGTCAAAGATAATACAAAACCCCCTAAAAGAAATCTATCCAAAGCTGCAAACAAATATTTTGAACTACATCAACTTGATACTGTGAAATCATTGCAATCTAATAGCCAACATAATCAATGTAAAAGCTGAAGACCACGTGAGAACACACTCCTCACCATCATTTTACCATCTGACCACTCGAAATTAAAAAATAAATAAATATATCATGATACACATAACACAAACCACAAAAATGCAAAAGTCATAAACCTAAGAGAAATGTATACAGTGCACAAGAAAGCCCCAAAACTAAACAATCAATAAATATTTATAAAGGAAAAAGGAAGAGGCAAAAGAAAAATGCATAAAAAATAGAAAACAATGAACTTTTCTGAACTGCATGTCCAGATATTGGCATGACGAACACGCCGATGAGTCCTCCTTGCACCCTGGAAACAAAAAAACAAAGAGGCAAAAAATAAGAACCCTAGCGAAATAGATATAAATTTTTCCGTTAATTTCTGAGCAAAAAAATCGAAATTCTATGAAACCCACCGGTCGCAAATCCTAGAAGCATAGAACGACACCAAAGTTTAAAGAAATTTTGAATTGACTCGACCTTCAATTCATTGGACGCACGAATTTCATCATAGCCCAAGTAAAATTTAGAAATTAAAAAAATAAATAATGAAACCATAGTTCATTGCAACCTTCTAATACACGCTCAGACATGGGCAAAACACACACACCTCAAAATCGGGCGCCTAAAACTGAGAGAGACCCCTTTGGACTCGTTTCGCGCAACTCGAACTGCAAGCTTTCTAGACGTGAGCACGATGGCTCGACCGCGCCGCAGGGGAATCCATCCAGGCTCGAGTAGAGTTTCGAGAGTCACCGGGAGAGGTGGACCGGCCTCGCTGCCGGTGAACTTCATTTACTGGTGGGCGACCGGATGAACTAAAGGGGAAGGACATATCAGAGTCGATATCGAAGGATAGAGGCGGTAAGAAACATAGGGAGAGAGGGAGAGAGTTTCAGCCGCGCGAGAGGGCAAGAATGAGAGAAGATACTACTTAAACTTTAGACAAACGGTAGAGATTTAATCCCTAAAATTAACGGTCCAGAAACAATATTTCCAAAACGTCGTCGTTTGTAGTGTCAGCGACTTAGCCTCTCAAAATCCTTGCACCACGTGTCAACTGAAGGAGGCTCTTGCCATCTTTTTATATATTAAGAGTAAAGATTATTTAATGAGGTTTAGAGGATATTTAAATGCTACTTTCAAAATATAAACATCAACCCTATATACAGTGGTAAACACTCAAAAATGAGGTTTATAAAATTCAAGTAAAGAGAAAACTTTGTGATTTCATCAACAAAGAAAACCCCAAGTAAAACATATATGAATCGCTCGAATCAAATTTCCTGATCAGTTTATTCAATCAAAAGACAACTTAAACGATAATAACCTAAAATCTACAGCCAATAAATACAAGGTTAGTCAAGTGTAACTATCAATCGCCGAGTTCAACTGTAAACGGTAGTGGACTAGAAATGGTCTTATATTACATTAATTATAATTATAAGACCTATCATCAATTCTCTAGAGCTTCTACCAATAGCCAAGTGTGAGCACATAATATAGCCTCTTACATTTTCTATGATTAGGCTAACTTTTTCCTAAAATAAGTGGACCATATTACCACACTCTTCACAGTAATTTGTTTAATATCATCAAAGTATATTCTCCACAACCATGTTTAGGGTCGCTTGTGTTTCATATGAATATGAAATTATTAGAGTAATGTAGAATTATTGAAAAAATTTCATTACTTTGCCACAAAATTCAACCCTATCATCCAAATTAATCTCTTTATGGTATTGTTGACTTTAAGTAAAAATCGTAGTTATTAAATTCCTTGCATACCCATATTTCTAAAAGCATAAAGCTGATTAAATTTAGACTGTCGAAGCTGCAAGACTTGACCATTGTATGATAAAACTTACATGATCCGTTTATGCTCATGCAGACTTAAGAAACCTTAATGATACATGGCATTTTAGATTAAATAATTTCCTTTCAAAAAATATAATTATTGAATGGACTTATGTACACTTAATTAAAATTCAATTTTAGAAAAAATAAAATAATTTTGTAAATTCAACATCTTCAATTTTAAAGTTTGCTTGATCATTAAAAAATATATTAAAATCGAGCGTTAAAGTTTGCTTGATCATTATTTGAGATTAAATTGATTGTATTTTGATGAAAAATATATGATTAGAAAGTTCTTTTCTTTAAAAGAAAAAAAATATACGAAGATCTTTCATCAGAGCTCTAATCTCCATCAATACATCAATGAAATTTCCAAATTTTTGTTTGCAAGCCGACGAAAACAAAACTTACAACAAACA